AAAGCTGCAAAATTATAAGCCGGACTCAAACATGCCATACAAATGAGCAATTCAGTATTTACCTCTGTAAAGCAATTATTCAATTCCACTAGTTGCTTATCAATGATAGTAAGAAATAGGTCCACACGATAATAATGGCGGTTTGTGATTTTCTAAGCTTTACGTCTTGATCTCCCTTGTGGTACAAATAAATCATCCATGTTAGGAACGTCAATATCATTGTTGCCACAAAATATTGATACTTGGCCAAGCAAATCATCAAAGTCATCATCCCTCATGGATTGTAGCTTTTGCTTACACCTTTGGACCAACGTCATCGCATTCACAATATCTTGATCTTTCTTTTGTAATGCCTTTGACAAATCATTTGTGATTCCCAATATAAATCTCATCAAATATAGGTGAAACACAAAGTCAAAAGTTTGTATTTCTTTTAACAACCTATTTGCTTCACCTAAATTATCTTGGTTGACATCATCAACAATCCATTCAAGCACCTTCACCACGGGATGAAACATAGTATTAATACTAAGTAAAGTATCATAATGTGAGTTCCAACGTGTATCACAAGGACGTTTGAGAGTAGTCTCTTGATTTAACCCTTGCCCCGTTTCAAGATCATCAATTTCAAGAGCTTTCATAATATCTTTTTGTTGTTGCTCTCTAAGTGCATCATGACGCTTACACGATGCTCCAATAATATTAACCACACTATTAGCCGTTGTGAAGAAAGTAGCAATGTTTTCATTTCCCTTTGCCACGGCTACAAGAGCTAGTTGTAGTTGATGTGCAAAACAATGGACATAATATGCTTGAGGATATTCTCTCAAAATCTGTGTTTTAAGACCATTGAGCTCACCTCTCATATTACTAGCGCCATCATACCCCTGTCCTCGTAGCCTAGACATGCTCAAATTTGTTGAAGAAATCAACTGCTCAATTGCCTCTTTCAATTTGCTACTAGTCGTATCAGAGACATATTGGACACCCACAAACCTTTCAATTATTTGCCCTTTTTTGTTCACATAACGCAACACCACTGCCATTTGCTCTCTTATTGAAACATCACGTGATTCATCTACCAATATAGAAAAGAATGCATCGTCCATATCACTAATAATTGCATCAATGGTTTCAGCGGCACAAGAATTGACAAGATCTTTTTGAATTTTAGGAGCAATATACTTGAGATTCCCTGGAGCGTTCTCAAACACAACAGCACAAACTTTCTCATCATGATCGGCAAGAAATTGCAAAAGCTCCACATAATTACCCTTATTGCTAGATGTTTCGCTTTCATCATGGCCACGGAAAGGAAGACCTTGTCTCAATAAATATCTAGTGCAATCAAGTGCGGCAGTTAATAGAATGCGATAATTAATACGAGCTTGGTCTGTCTGCTTGATCACAATGGTTTCAACGTGTTGCTTCTGATTCATTAAATCTGTACAATGTTGTGTAGCTTTATTGTGAAGACTTCCAACTTGTCCAACATGGTCCCTAAAATTCTCGGGTCCCTTCCTCCAATTTTTAAACACTTTCTCAGTGAAGACATCACTTCCAGCCTTTCCTTGTTTATCAAAGTCACATTTAAAAAGATAACAATGAAGACAAAATGCAGCATCTTTCTCTTTACTATACTCCAACCAAACAAATGAATCAAACCATTTCACAAGAAAATGTCGATTACAAGGACCCATAAGTGTTTGAGGCATGTTGTTTTGGCTTTTAGGTTGACAAGGACCCCTTTGCAGATAGGCTCTTCGGATTTGTTCTTGAAAATTGGGATTATAATAAGTCATTGGAGGTCTAAGTCCAGGGTCTGTAGGAAGAGTAGCCAATATTTCATCCAACTCAGTTACCTCTGATTGTTTTGGACTACCCGAATTATTCAAGGGAGGATGTGAAGTAGGCGGATTATTTGAAGGAGGATTGGAACTAGCCGGATTATTTGAAGGAGGGTTGGAACTAGCCGTATTATTTGAAGGAGGATTTGAACTCTTTCTCTGAAAGTACCGTTCCATAATTGTATAGAGAGAGCTAAATAAGAAAAAAAAATTATTGTGATGCACACACACTTTGATGAAATTGGGTGATGTTAAATTGGTCTTTTATAAAGAGAATTCCCAATTCTACTTAATTAAGGAATTCCCAAAACCCAATTGAATAAAGAGAACTCCCAATTAAATCCCATTTAACTAAGGAAATAGAAGCCCATCTGAAAAAACCCACAAAAAGCCCACGCACAGCAATGACAGCATCAGTTTCCGGTTTTTTTTATTAAATTTAAAAACCCTGGTCCAAAACGACGTCGTTTTGGCCAGGTTTTAAAAAAAAAAAAAAACAAGCAGTGTGTTTTAAAACAGCCTGGTCCAAAACGACGTTGTTTTGGCCAGGCTTCGTTAAAAAAAAAAAAGGAGAGCGCGCACCAGCAGCTGCACAGCGCCTACTCTTTTGCGCATTTCGTCGAACACCTTCTGTGCGTCGCTGGTCTGCAGCAGAGGTGCAACTCCAGCACCTGTAATGGCGATTTCCAGCGACCGGAGGTGCGGGCGCGCCTCCTTGCGCCTGCACAGGTCCGCCACTAACCACAACCCAGACTAATCCCCACTCACACCGGGTCGGCCTGTAAGGGGTAAAGTGTTGGCCAAAGTGGTGACTCCGTACGAGAGCAGGGATCGAACCCCTGACCTCTCTTAAGGAATGAGAGTGCCGAACTTGTACCTTACTTTCAATTAACCTCATATCCTTTTTTCTTAGAAAATTAAGGATATAAACTTTTTTTTTTTGGCCAATTTCCCACATGTCGTCTAAATCCGCAATATTTCATCCAATTTGCCGTTAAATATGAGGGTAAAATAGTAATTTTGTACGTTAAAATAAATAAAAGATGAAAAATAAAATAAATAATAGAAAATTGAAATAATAGTCATAAAATAAAAAACTGAAAACTCTCTCTCTCTCTATACCTTCTTCTTTGAATTTCCAGAACCTCCTCATCTCCTTCTCTTCAAATCCAAATCCAAACTTTCTACTTCTTTGCATATCAATCTTCAACACCCTTTAAGCTCGAGCTGTTATTGAGGGTCTTTCTTTTGCTGCTGACCAAGGTTTTCTCACATTTGTGTTGAGTCTGATTCCAAACCCCTTATCAATTGCTGTTTGGGGAAAATTGCCAAGGGAGCCTGGGAACTCTATCAATCCTTGGGGTGTATCCAGGAGCTGAGGTCGAAGTTTACTAGTGTTTGCTGGGAGTGGATCCTAAGAGAAGCCAATGCTATGGCTGATGTAGTGACGACAATTGCAATATGAGGGATGGGTATGGAAGTTTGGGTCGATCGACCCCCATCCTCTCACACCTGTTGCCTCAGCGATGCATCTGAAGAATTTTTGCATTCTTGATATGGCTATGATCTAATTCTGTTTCTGTGGCTATGTTTTGGGTATGTTAGCTAGCAAAGACTCATTCAATTTGGGGACTTTTTGTTTTTTGTTTTTTTGTTGGGTTTTAGGGTACTGCGGCTGTGTTGTGATGGGGTTGATGTGCCGGAAGAGATAGAGCTAGGGGAAGGGGGTGATAGGG